CGGGAATTCGAACATATTTTTAGACCTATCTAAAAATTCTCTAATTAGTCTTGGAAGAGAGTGAACCTAATTTTTGCATCTGGTAAAAATGGGTAAGATCAGCTATAATCTAATAATCTTAATCTTTGCACATATATATATATATATATATATATATAAAATGAATTGTTTTTCTCTTAGTACGATAATATTGTAAAACTAAAATAGCAATGTTTCATATCAGTATAATTATACCACACTTAAATGGTCATCTAATGTGAAGTAGATAATAACATACAATACATTTATTAGACAAAATAAAACAAAAATATTATTATAATTTGCAGAAATATTTATTCTTTAAAGATTTCAAAGTGCAGAGAAAATTCAAAAATGATTCAATAATTGCAGTTGTTACTGAATGATTTATTAGTAATTTTAGTAGTTATTTAGTATTGTTTACTGTAAATTTTATACATATCAATATCTATAAGTATATTAAACAACCCTAAGCCCTATATATATATATATATATACATGTATACATACTTTTGAGATCAAAGGTAATTAGTTGATGCAGTTTTTGAAGTCTCTCTTTGGTGGGTGATATGGGATTGTAATTGATGCTTGAAACCAGCAACCACATTCACCAGAATGTCATTAGGAATGGCTTGAATCTCGGCTTTGATAACAGATTAGAGCTGTTTGAGGTTGGCAATAGGATTTTGATAAATCCTATGGTAAATCCTATGATTTTGATAAACATGGTTAAACATTGGAACCTACCAATGTTTAACCAACAAAAATGCATTCATTCAGTGAATATTGCTCATTTTTAAATTTTTATAAAAATTGGCATGTCAGCACTAAACAATTACTTTTGTTTACAAGAATGTTGCGAGATTTACATATTTTACATTTTACCTATAGTGGAGCACTATAGGTAAAATGTTGACCTATACCCTTTGACCTGTAGCATTAAATACTACGGTCTTGAGGTACTCCTCTTTTAATTAACCCTGCTTTGCAGGTAGTTATGATTACATAGTTGCGGCCGTAGCCGCAATACATTAATACCCAACAATTCTATTTTTATTTAGATTAATTATATTGTTTAGTGGCTGCGAGATCATCATCATCATCAAATAATCTTTATTACTTAGCCTGATACCGCTTGGCATAATCAGGCAAGAAATTACAGAAACGATTACATTGATGTTACATGCAGATGACAATTGCAAAATAATCCAAAAACAAACGTTGGGAAAGAAGTAAAGAAAAGAAAAAAAATAAAAAAATAGATAAATAGACAAACAAAAAAAAAATAAAATAAAATAAAAAATAATAATAAAGTAAGTAAATGCATTAACAGTAAATGAGCTAAAGTAAATACAGTGGAACACTGGTTAACAAAACGTCCTGCTTAACAACCAAATCGGTTAACAAACTTTCATTTTGCAAAAATTTTGTCTTGGATAATGAACTTAAGGGCTTTTTGTGTCAAATTTGTAAGCTTGCCGACTTTTAGGGGGAATCAGTTAATCATGTGTCGGTGATGGTCTACGGTCCTTTCGTACGTTGGTGGTGGCGGAGGAGACAAAGATGATAAGTATTTTACAGTGAAAATCATTTATTAGAACAGGAAGATGCTTATATATTTGAGGTGGTTGGAAATGGCTTATCTACAGTATTTTCTCCCGGTACTGGGGAGTGGTGTATCGCTGGTCCTATGATAGTGCAAGCTGATCAGGCGTAGCCCCAGAGTGGACGAGATGGGTTCGCTTGGTCACAGAAGCGATAGTAGGTGACAGAGCTGCAACGACTGGAGTCATGCAGGAAGAACAGATGAAAGTCTTACAAGAAGAGCATTTGTCAGAGGAAGAGGCTAGGGAAGAAACCACTAGTGCTGAGATCAAGGAAATTTGCAGAAAATGGAATGATGTGCAGGAATTTATCAAGAAGCACCATTCTAACAAAGTTGTGGCTAATAGGGTCATTAATTTAATGAACGATGCTATGCTAGCACATTTTAGAAAAATTTTGATTAAGAGACTAAGACAATCAACTTTAGACCACTTTCTTGTTTCTTATCAAGAGAGACCTTGACTTGAAGATACTCCAGATGCAGTGCTACCTGATATTTTTATGGAGGGAGATTCCTCTTCCAAGCATTACGCTCCATAGAAACAAAGGTATGTACAGTACTACTTTATTAAATAAAGTTTACATATTTGTTGCTGTAATGATAGATACTACGTTTTCTTATATTTTCATCAAAGAAAACCCATTTTACAAATAAAATTACAAAAATACTGATGGCTAGAACGGTTAATTGTATTTGCATTAATTTCTATGGGAAAAATTGCTTCGGTTAATGAACGGACTTGTGGAATGGATTACGTTTGTTAACCGGGGTTCCACTGTAAATGCGAATATATACATTTACACAGTTGCATTACCTTATACATTTAAGTGTTACCACAGTTCATTCTAGGGTAAAAACAAAAATGTATATTGTAGTAAACATGTCGCATAATAGATGGTGAAACACCACAGGTTGACATATACCATTACAGGTGAAGGAACACATAATAACTTCATTGAATACATTGGACAGTCTTTAGCCTGTGCAGAATGTCTTGAGCCACAGATAAACAATGATGCATATCAAGATGCCACTTGTAGTTTAACAAATATCACTTCTAATCAGATAAAGTTTGATAAGTTCTTTGAAGAGGCCAAAATTGGCTTTATTATGAACAAGGAAGTCTGGGTTTACAGGCCAGTCCATATTGTTTAGATTTACTTGCTGCCTTCAGCGGTGCCTAATATCCTCAAGCATGGGGCAGTTGAAAAGATAGTGTAAGACACCATCTTGAATACCACAGAGATTACAGTGATCATTATCTTATGAAATNCAGAGTCCTTGGCTATTTTAAGGGCCCTACACTACATAAAGAAGGAACAAAGAACCTTTAAGAACAAGGCTGTATACATTTTCACTGATAGCAAGGTAGCCCTGCACCAGATACAAAATCTTAATGTCAACCTCCCCATTATAAGGGATACTATCAACGCCCTCAACCACCTCAATGGATCCACAGTCATCGCCCTCGCCTGGACTAAAGGGCACTCAGGCAACAGGGGGAACGATCGTGCAGACTTCCTTGCCAAAAAGGCTACACATAACCTTGATACCAGCGCATACTCAAAAGTGCCTTACAGTTGGATGGCAAATCAGCTGCTCAGCTATATTTACCAACAATGGCAAAGAAATTGGGACAGCAGCAGCACTGGGAGGACAACCTACTGCTTCTTTCCCCTGCTGGCAAACAGGGCAAGATTTGACCACTTCACCCCCTCTTATGAACTCACGCAAATCATGACGGGCCACGGAAACTTTAAAGGTTATCTGGCCCATTTCCTCGGCAAAGGGAATGGACAATGCCATTGCTCGCTTAATGAATGGGATGACAGCGACCACTTGCTGTTCCACTGCCCTCTGTACGAGAACAAACGAAGACAACTGATACAAGCTGTGATGCAGGAGAACGAAGTGTGGCCATGTCCGGCAAGTCTTCTTCTCAGCAACAAAGACATTTTCACAAAATTCAATGAATTTATTCGCCAAATTAAGGTGCTCAGCTAACTGTGTGTGGAGGGCAACCTCTCTATCACATGGTCTCTATCTTAGCGCCACGATTCTTCACCCAGGACTTCAGGCGGCCTTAGTTTATGTTACTAACATCTGCATGCCAACGTCGGGATCTGCTTTATTCTGTACAGTTTTACTTTGGCTAATTGTAAAGGGCATATATATGTTCAACCCGCTCTAAAGTGTAATTTCTGTTTAATTGTGCTATGTACTTCTGATTATTGTATCTACTTTGTCATATCTGGACTGCTGTGTCAGTCTAGCTATTGTGATTGTTTCCTCTATTATTCGGTTCCCAGCCATCCTCATGTGATCCCTTTTCCTCTTCCTTCTCTTCCCCCATTCCTCTCCTCCTCCTCCTCCTTTCCCCCCTTCTTCCCTGGGCTATACGTATTGGTAAGGCCGTCTCTTTCACAACTGTCAACTGTCCTTGTTTCTCAGTTTGGTCACAGTGACAGCACTGTCGGTGTAGATATTTATGGACATATTGACAAGATTGATGTTACACCATTTGGTAGCCATTAACATCACAAAGATTTCAGCTTGAAAAACAGAGCACTCCAGATGCAGCTCAAATGTCTGTTTATGGATCTCACCACTTGCATCGAAAATCATGAAGGCACTAGCTGTGCCTTCAGCAGTTTTAGAGTTGTCCGTGAAACCTTCAATCCTCATGGGTACTTCACGTGAAAGAAGTCCCGTTCTCCGGGCAGGATGTGGGAGGGTGGCCATGAGCCTTTCAATCTCATACATGGAGGCATCAAAATAGTGTCATTAGTGGCTGCAAGATATCAGCACCCCTGGACGGGTAGTTAAAAAGTTGTTATCCTTAAACAAAGTTGTTGCTGACTTATTTGATACCCTGTACATACATAGCCAAATGATCACATTAAGTGCTTGGGCTATAAATCTGCTGTTTTTAATAATTAATATTAAGTTATTTGCTACTAGAGGTTGACATTAGGCACCATCTCTTATCTAAGCTAATAATTATAATTTAAATAATTTATTAAATAATTTAGAATTATCTGAAAGAACTGGCCTGGGATGGGCTTGAATCTTTAACCTCCATTTGCCATGCAGTGCACTTGCCAGTTGTGTCACTCAGGCCTTCGCTTTCAGATATATTTAAATTTAGATATAACCTCACATTGTCAATGAAGGTTATTTAATAAATTATTTAAATTATAATTATTAGCTTCGATAAGAGATGGCACCTAACATCTACCTCTATTAGCAAATTATTAGTGTTAATTATTAAAAATAGTAGATTTATAGCTCAAATATTTAAGCAATTGTTTAGCTATGTATCAATATCAGTATTTTTCAATTAGATTCATCATTAGTATCTTTGGTTTTGCTGTCACTTTCCTTTTCTGTGTTTTCATCATTACTTTTGGTAGTTTTCTCAACTAATTTTTTTTTACCCTGCATCTTTTGTAAGTTCAAATGAAAATCCTGCATGTCTATAGAACTACTATAAATACACATTTTTGTAAACATGCAGTATACAAATGATTTTTTGATAACTTTTCAAGAACATTTTTGCATTATTAGCAAAGACATGCAAATGATTAAGTTTACAAACACCTTGTGTCATGTGATACCCAGTTTTGGGTTATAAAGGCCAGCAGCTGGCTTGAGCTGTAAATGCTATCAGAATGGTTTATGGCAACTGAACTTTCAAAGAAGCATAGAAAATGCCTCAGAATAGATAGCAAGCTAAATACCGCCAGTTAATGTATGGAAAATGGGATTGTATCCTGGAGCAGCAAGACCTTGGTTTGCCAATGTGCACGGCAAGATATGAATACTAATTCAGTGATGTGTGTCATGATGGATGCAGGAACATCTATGAACACGCCAAAGAAGGAGTGGATTACACCAGCACATGACAGCGTGCATAGACTAGCAGATTTGTTGAACAGTCCATCGGGACCCATTATCATGGCACATGAAATCCAAAGCTGTCTGTCACTGTCAATCGGTGCATGTGTGTCCACCTAAACCATTCACAACAGGTTGCATGATGTTGGGCTGCATGCACAACATTTAGCAACTGGGATGCTATTAACCACTCAATACAAGCTGCACACCTGGTATAGTATCTTCATCTTGCAACTGGACCAGTGAATGCTATTGGGTATTGTTTATGAATGAATCCTGTTTCTGTTTATGGAGGAATGATGGCCTTGGACAGGTGTGGCAGTTTCCTGGGAAATGCTACATACCAGTCCTTTTCACTGAGTGTCACATCAGCCCCAAACTGCTTGGAAGACATTGTATTCAATCAGTAGACAGCCTTGGTTCACATTTCTGGTACTCTGACAGTGGATCAGTATGTCACATGAATTGTGGGACCTGTGTTTTGGCCACTGGTGCAGGCTGTACTTGACACTGTGTTCCAGCAAGATAATGTATGACTGCATATTGCATGGTGAACTCTCATCAGCCTGAACAGAATTTGCATCCTTCCCTGGCCAGAAGCTGTGCTGGATCTCTCTCCCATTGAACACCTGTGAGACCTCATCCGATATGAGGCATATGGAGACCACCACTACATACTGTAGATGAAAAGCACATTGCAGTGGATGCAACTTGGTAAGGGATACATACCTCAGGCAAGTATTAATTGTCTCATTGATAGTATGCCTTGCCATATAGTGTATGGAACCTGCACAGCTGCTGTGGGAACCATATTTATTACTGAATAAACAGGTGTCTGCTGCATATTTTAGTTTGTTCTTTTAATCATTTGCATATCTCTGTCATCTTACCAGACTTGCCATATGCATGTTGCTATGCACATTCTTTTGTGATGTTGCAATTTCATTTTTGAGGAGTGTACATTATGGTTTTAACACAACTGAAATGTTTAAAAAGTCTTGAAATTTATAAAGCTATTATGAAAGGGACTGCAATTAACTTTAAAGATTTTGCACTGCTGTCACATGCTTGGAGAGCATTATAGTTATCCTTTGCTTAATGCGGGATTTGATTAACGCACAAAATTAATTGTGGCAATCCCTTTATATGTGCGGCAGAAGTTTTAATTTATGTAGCTTTACTAGCTGTTTTTACTTAACCTAGATACCATATTTTGATTAACATGATTTTGATATGTAGTAGGATTGAGGGATTAATTAACTGTGTTAATCAAGAGATACCTATCAAGGGCAGTAGTTAGCTTTTTTTGCTTAATGTCATATCTATGTTTCTGTAGATACTGATGGAGTGAGCATCTAGTAGTGCCAATGTTTTTGAGGTTGCTATTGTCTCTCACCAGTACTTTACAAATTCCTGGAGCTCTGCATATGTTTTCTTTGTCTTTCTCATTGTGCAACAATTTGTAAATGATAGGCATTTATATGATAATGCCATCTTTCTTTCTTTCTTTCTTTAATCTTGTGAATGGTGTTATTTAGATAAAAGATGAGACCAGATATGGAAACTTTATGGGTAGGAGGCCTCAATTAACTATATACAAATGTTTGATACAAATTAAAAGTCATATTATTTCAATTCAAAAATTTTTCCCTGAAAGGTTCCTTTAGTAATAGAGTTGTGCCAATCATCCTTTCAGGATGATTGACACAACTCTATTACTAAAGGAAAAGTATGATGTACAGGGTGCAGGCCACTACTAATTTGAGGTGGAAAGCATATATTTTAAATAAAATAAATTAAAAGTATGATTAAAAATTGCAGCTCGGCATTGTGATGATGTCACAATACATAATTTATATTTGAAAGTTTTTAATAACACCCATTCCTGACCATATTGTTATTTCTAATTTGTGTGGTGTATGCTATATAATTCCAAGTTTATATGAATATGGTGCAGTTTAGAGAAGCAATAATTTCTGGTTTTCTAGTTTAAGTTATAAATTAAACTTAATCAAATAATGATGCCAGATTCATCAGGCTATAACTTGGCTGATTAAATATATAGATATAAAGTAATTTATAGTAGGGTATCAATTAAGTTGCTAACTTGTATTAAATTTCATAATTAGAATTAAATTAATTTAGAATATTCTGGAAGAAAAGATTAATTTGGAGTGGGATTTGAACTCTCGTTGTGCAGATACATTACTAATTATGTACCTGAATCTCCTTTCGATAAACTTCTGTCACAAAAACCAAAAACACAGTAGAACTGGTAAAAAACTCACATTAGTGACAATCTTGAGATTTCAAATTTCAATTGCACAAGATGGAATGCCTCAATTTGAAATACAGAGACAGTTTAGATTTATAATGTTAAGGGCCTGAAGATGCCCATTTAATGTGGAGGAAAACATTTGCTAATGTTAGTTTTTACCATTTCTGTTGGTTGTTTGATTTTTGTGACTGTAATTTATTTAAGTTTAATCAGTTTTTAACAGTCATTACTTGCCTCCTACTGATCTTTACTTTTAAACCAATCAATTTAGAAGATACATGATTGAATAAAAAAGAAATGGGACTGTTTCCACTGTTCAGTGATAACACAAAATACAGTATTTTTGCCATCAAGGATCGATGCCTTATAGGTTTGAGCATCAGTCTGCAAAGTGGAATTGATTTTCAAACCAGAATGTTTGCTACATGCAATTTTGTAATGTTATGTTAGTATCATGTTGCAATTCTAGAATGCACTTGAAAATTGTTAGATTTTTTTTATTAAGCTTTGAAAATCTCCACAAAGACTTCAATTACTTCAAAAGGTCTCTAGCAACATAAAACATGGACAAGACTACAATCTCTGACATCCAAGAAGGCATGACAAGTCAGAAGTGTAACAAAGAGCATACTTCAGAATCAGAACTGGACAGTATAAATACAAAATCATATACAAACTTCAAGGTCAGTTCAACAATGAAAGTAATGAGAAGTTTAAACATTTTCAGTCAATTCTGTAGACTTTCATCAGGAATAGTTGAGATCAAAGATGGAATGTGCAAAGAATAGCTACAAAATTTGAATTGTAAATGTGCACTTGTTGAATAGTA